TATATATATATATGGTATGTGTGAGCCCTGCTATTCCCCTAGTTACATTGGAGAACAATGCCCAAATATAGACTGCCTATGCAGTGCCACCTAGTGGGCATAAACAATGCTGCAAATTCATGGTCATTTTTATGGAAAAATACCTTTGCAACAACTAGATCTACACTCAGAAATGCCAGGGCCAACAAAGGCACCTTTAGAAATGTTTACTAATAACAATCTACAAACACATACTTCTAGATAATTGCCGGCTTTGTATTCTTTGCATACCTTATTTTTCTTTTCTTCCCAGGCTTCTAACAGTGGCCATAACTAAGGGCAAGTTATTGGATCTCCCTTTCCCCTTTACTTCCTGGAACTCTGGCACATGTGACTAGACATATGACCATGCACATCAACCCAGGGGAGGAAAATGCCCTAAGATCTCCTTAGGTTACAGATAAGATTTCCCAGCAATGCTCTGGTGATGTAACCTTCCCAGGATGCAATTCTTGGGCACAATTACATAATTTGTGCCAAAGTGGACCAGGAAGTAGATAAAAAGAAATTGTAAGTAAAATAAAAATATGTTTGTTTAGAGATTGAATGTAAGATGATTTCATATCTGTACGCAGAGCTGTATACTGATGTGATTTTTAGTCAGAGGGGGTAAAGGTCCACTTTAGTACCTTTTTAATAATTTATAACAAAAACTAATAATTGTTACTAAGAGAAACACGAATATTTCTTATCAAAAATTAATTTGGCTAGTTCACAGTTTAATAGATTCAGGCATTGCACAATCAAACCTTGATTTTTGCGTTTCCAGAATTTTGACAAGTCCATTTATGGATCTATAACATACAGACAGACGTGGAAATATCAGCAGACATAGGTTATAGAAGATCACATATATCAGTTGAGTTGAGAAATAGAATTATACAGGTACAATAGTTTTAGCCAAAAGTGCATGTTGATGCACTCATTTTGTGACAAACTTATAGGGAAAGAATAGAAACTGTCTGGGAAAATTACTTATACAAAATGTATTCCCCAACCAAACAATGGATTAGTTAGGAGACAAAGCTTTCTGCAGAAGTTGCCCAGAGACATACAGTACAATATTTTTTTATTCATTATTAGAGATATTGAACAATAGCAATCTCTTGTCTATGGCTAGTCTAAAGGTCGCTATACTAATCACAGGCTCAAAGCAAGGCCCCAATTGTTTGCAAACCAAAAAAACCCACATTTGACGTTGTGTTTTTTGTCACCATGCTGAATTTCATTTACTGTGTGGCAGACAAAAATAGGTGGTATTCTGTATTATAAATGTTTACTGACCCAGGCAACTAGCAGTCTTGAGGGTGCACAAACTGGCAATGTCCCAGCTACTGCACTGTTATATATTTTTCTGCCCATACACAAGGCAAGTTGGTTAAAAATGGCCTTTACGCGAACCTGTGTTCACATTCTAAACTGCTAGATGACATGAAGTACAGTTACTTAGAGGTGACTTATGCCTGCCTACATGTGCTTTCAGATAGATTAAACTGCACCCCACAAGCTCTGAAATTCAGAGTTCAATTTCCCAAATAATGGTCGCAGTGCCTGCAGTCAAGCTCTGGCTCACCTTCAACCACCTTTTATTATTCATTTATTACTGATGGGCATGATGGAGCAAGCCCTAGTACAACTTCAGGGACTGAAGCCATATTGGATTGCAGGTTTCAGAGATCGCATGGTGCTTTCCAAACCTACCTGTGCATACATCCTTAAGTGCCTGCTTTTCATATGTTATTGTTGTTTAATATGTAGAAGCACAGGTGCACATTAACACTTGGACAAAGCATGAATACACAGTGAATACATTTACCTGACAACTGAGTGTACTGCATCCAGGTCTTCAGCGGAAACTAAATCAGTTTTATTGATGAGTATCACATCAGCTAGTGCAACCTGTCTGCCAGGTGAAAACAGTTTTATTAAGCAGGAGTGGAAAAAGTAGCAGACACACAACATTCGGACATGGTTCACACAGAAGTTTATACTTCAAAAATCTTCTTTCATATGGAATTTATTGTCAGGTTTAGAAATGCATCACACTGGTCTAAACCAACAAGCAGAAAAATAATAATACATTCTCCACTGAGGGACACAGGAATGTAAAAATTCTTGGACATAGTAGGTTATACTGCCATATAGTAGGTTATACTGCCATATACAGGAAGTTTTGACAATGGCAAACAAAAAAAAATGTTAAGCCAGCCCCCTAATGACCCCACCCTCAATTGTCATGCCTCAGTTTTGTGAGCAAGTAGTACATAAAGCTAACAACACAGAGCAACAGGATCTGTGTTGAGAAAAACAAAAAAAAGATTTTAAGGTAAGTATAAAATTCTTTTTTTTGTTTTGTATCGTTCATTAAGGGGGCACAGGAATGTTTAAATTCCTGGAGATATGGGATGTCCAAAAGCAGTCTGAAAAAAAGAGCATTGCACACACTAAGTGCTGCAGGGTTATTTTAAAACACTGGACCAGATAGAGATTTCATTACAACTTGGGAAGGTGACTTGACTATGCCATCGAAGCAGATCCAAGAGTAGGAAAATGCATACAACTATTCAGAAGAACCTTTTTAAGATGAAGGAAGGGAAAAGTGATAATTCCCAGCCTGTCCAGAAACCATTGTGGAAATGAGTAGATGTAGGCCACTTTTTTCCAAATCCTCCTACCAAATCAAAATTAGAAACAGAATAATATGGAGGGATTAATGAAAATGGAGTTCTCATGAATTCCACAATCTCAGAAAGAAAAAATGGGATGGTACCATCTCTAAAGTAATATACAGAAAATGTCAGTATGTGGGACACTGTCAGTTTTTAGGAGGGAAGAAGAGAAGAAGCACTGGTGCGGGGGTAATGGTCAGTGTTATATGGGAAGCTCAATATGAACACATCCATATACAGGAAAGTTGGCGGTTATTGACTTTCTACTTGGGGATAAACACCACAAGAAGTGCAATGATACTAAAATCAGTAGACTTGTACATTGTGCAAAAAAGGTGTAAGGAAGGCTCCAGGAAACATGGGAGGGCATATGTCCTAGAGTATGAGGAGCCTAAATAATAAGTGCAGCACAGTGGCATAGTGGTTAGCGCTTCTCCCTTGCATCACGTGGGGTCCCTGGTTCGTATCCCGGTCAGATCACTGTCTGCAAGGAGTTTGCAAGTTCTCCTGTGCTTGCTTGAGTTTCCTCCTGGTACTCCGGTTTTCTCCCACACTCCAAAGACACGTTGGGAGGATAAGTGGCTCCTGTCTAAATTGTTCCTGTATGTATGCATGCATGTGAGATAGGGACCTTAGATTATAAGCTCCTTGAGGGCAGGGATTGATGTGAATGTACACTATGTAAAGTGCTGCATAAATTGCCGGTGCTATATAAATACCTGTAATAATTAATAAATAAATATACTAGGGTACAAAGAATCCAAAAGGGAGGCGAATGAGCCAGATACATGGTTTAGGGGCCAGTATAGAAGCTACAGGATGAAACCTGAGCATTCATACTAAAAGAGAAATCCAACAGAGTAGGGAAACAATTACCCACTGGTAAAAGTGGATATATACCTTACAAAAAAGGTTTATTATAAGAGGTCATTAAGGGCATTCTGGACGTGAAGACGGTGTACTGGTGACTTCCTGTTCTCGCATGTTTCCTTCTGCGACACCATCAACCGGGCCTTTCAGCGGCCACAGGAAAACAAAAATGTAGATAACAGTCAGTTGTGCGATGGGCTCCCTACATTAAATCACATGGGAGAAAGACTTAAATCTGCCTTTGCCCCATCCAGGGCCCTACTAACAGAGTGCGTTTTCAGACAGTGGGTCACACCAGAGGTTGTGCCATGGCTCTGGACTAAAGAGCATTCTGCGGCTTACTAACACAGTACACTAATGTCAAGCAGAGCCCAGTGGGCGAAGGTCACATTCCAAGCAGACACTTCAATGTTCGATCCAACTAGGTCTGGGTACAGTCTTCAAAGCACTGCTGAGGATATGATGATCCTCTTAAAAACCTCCTTAAGGAAGCAGAAAAAGCCACATATCCCTAGAATTTCAACATTCCTGTGTTCCTCAAAAAAACAATATAGAAAAAATGTTTTTATACTAAATGCATCATAACATTCTATTAAAACATGCTGCCAACAACAGAATTCACAAGAAAAGCAGTATGTAACAATAGACAATGCTTTACCTTGCAGCTTCATTAATAAGGTCATCAGGTTTTTCTTCTGTTAGATGCTAAATAAAACAAAAACTCTAAATTACACAAATGTTGCGTCATCAGATTACACATATTACATTTTTTGGCAGTGTTACATTATTTTCATTGTTATCGGAATTGCATCAACAGGATAGATGATTCTCCTGCTTTTGTCTAGCTTCTGCTGTAAGCCATGTGTGTTAATGTGCTGGTCTGACTATCACCATAAACTACATTCTGTATTTTAGAAAAGTAAGTCCATTAAAGGACAATTTTACATCCATGTAAATTTGGAGATGGTTAAGTGGCATGTAGAAGAATGATAGTATGCATAATCATTACAGATATGGTCACAATGAAGCGGTTAGGAAAAGATCACACAGGGTTCCATTTGGTAATCACTCTTAATTGGCAGTGGCATTACCTGTACTTTTCTGTAACAGCAGTTGTGTAGATAAGACCATTAGACCCAGCGCACTCAGTAATCAGCACTCCAGCTGGGTGTACACTAAATTTGTTTTTGTTCCGCGGACTCAACGGAAAAAGTCTAACAGTTTCCTTCACACATGCTATGCAGGAAGGATGGAGGAATTTCCTGCTACGGCTACAGTTTTTCACCTTAGGCCCTGCTGGCTGTCTAAATACCTGAATAGTGGCTGCATCTGATTGGATGCAGGTGCTTTTCAGCCGACACTTTTCCACCTGGCTCCTTTGATTTTCAATCAAAGGATGTCGGACGGAAGATGGCAGACAGGACAATTTAAAGAGCAAAGATAGATTGAAAAATGGAAGGAATCGGGCGGAAAATTGTCAGCCAAACAGCGCTGCATCCAATCTTAAAAAACATGGAAAAACAAAAAAAACCTTGAATATGCTTTTCTAATAGAGGGGTACAGAATACAAAGTACTGAGCAATAAAAGGGGGACATCTCACACCCCAATAGCTAAACAAAAACAGTGCCAACACCTAAAATCGCATTGTTCAGATACAGATTAAAGAGATTGACCATGAAACCACACCACAAACCCTTCCAGCTAAACCCAACATGGGTCTAATCAAGGAAAGAAATATGCAATCAGGCTATAAATGTTAAGTAGACTTAGGCAAGTAACCTGCGCACCACTACATGTGTAACAGCAAAGTATGTTCCAACTGGGTAACATCTCATTAACACCAACATTTCCAAAAATTGTAACAGATTTGTCTAAGATTCCTATTTTATCCATACTTTTTACCTACTGGCAAAAAAAAAAAACTGCTCTGTGTAAATGATTCTGTGGTATTTATCCACTGAAGTGAAAAAATTGTATATGTTATGAACAGACATTTCAGGACAAGCGAGAAGACAACTGTCACGTCATTCTGTCCAATTATTCATCTATAAGAAGAAAAAAAAAAATCTGATTCCTGGGTGACAATCCCATTAGCGTGATGGGCCATGATATCAATTACCACTTCAGTTTCAATTTAGCAGTGTGGCCATAGAACAGCGTTGCTTTCAGTGACCTATGCTGATCGAAGTCCGTGAAGCATGACACTCTTTAAATTGCTGCCTTTTGTTCTACTGTCACTGCCTGTATTAGCCAGAAACAAACCCAGCAATATTCGGCTATTGAGGTCAAGGCTTATAGGCAAGGGAATTGGACAAGCAAGCAAATCTACTGCAGGTAAGTGAAAAGTTACTTCTGTCTATCACAGAAGGGCTTTCAAGTCAACTACTATGATGACAGGCTTTCGTTCTGGTGCTGATGGATCATTATAGAATCTGAAGGGTTTTAGCGGCTGACAAAGATGTTCAACTTTTGAAACTTATTTGCTATTTATATTGTTTTTCAGTATGTCATTATTTACCAAACAGCCATAAGAATTATTTTGTTTTCCATGTCACAGAAATGACAAAGAAAATGTATTTAAAAAGCGGTTGAGGTTTAGATGAAGGAAACATGGGAACTAAGGAAAAAAGGGCAAAATTTTGCATATACATGGGAACTAAGGAAAAAATGGCAAAATTAAACAGAAATAAATCCTTTCTTTAGACAAATGGTTCTGAATGACATTTATAATAAAAGTTAATGTTTCAGTAGTTTTCCAGAACTTATTATTATTGATACCCAAGGTAGTGTGTGTCAGTTCCTCCAGAAATTAAAGTATCTAATGTAGCTAAAGGCGAAAGCTTTATTTAAAATTTAGATAGAGTAGTGAGGGGTTAGAAAAGCATTGACAGTTTTTAAAATGAAGCTTCTTAATGGAGTTTATTTTAAACAAATAATATACATACATGTATACATAAAATAAACTATATCAAAAAATACAAACTTGTATCCTTTGGGATATACAGAGTGGAGTCAACAGCAAATGTGGTTAGTTCAAGCTAAACAATAAATGCACATTTATACAATCAGATGAATACAGTTTCCTAGTACTAACCATCTGGGACAATACTGTAAGTAGTGAATTAGACCAAGGAACCCAAATTTTATCAAACCTATGTAAGTTGATAGAGAGGGAATACTGAATTGATCAGGTTTATCAGTAAAGGGGGAGATGCCCACTTTCATGTAATTAGAATGTGGGGTTTTTTTTACTGTCAGGTATGTATTTCTGTCTGTGTCTCCTTCAAATAGATTCACTCTCTTTAATTATCCTGATCACCAATGTCACACGAAATGAAAGTAGGGATAAAGCCTAAAAGTTTGAGTTGCCACCTGAACAGGAATAGAGGGAGAAGCTTCCAATGGGGATATATGTTTCTGTGACTACTGTCTAAGAGGGGTTCCCTCATATTGGAAAGATAACCTCTCACTTCCTGTTGAGTCTACAGTACAGAAAGTAAAGGGAAATCTCCCTAATGCGACACAGAGGCACTGACAGTGGTTTTAACTCTCACTACTCTATCCAATAAGAGAGACTTTAAAGGAAAACTATGAGGTGAGTGATTTACACTCATCGTCATAGTTAGAGCAGATGTGTGACATTGAAACTGTCACACGTCAGCTCTATTGATCGGGAAGTGAGCGAACACATCATTCCCCCGCTCCCCTCTTTGATCCTCCAGCGCTGACTGGAGGAACGGAGGGGCCAGGCACAGCTGGCTCTGCCTCTAGATAGGCAGAGCCCGCTGTCAATCAGCCAGCTGGGTGGATCTCAACAGTATTGTCGGGATGCGTCCCGGCTGCAGCGCTCTCAGTATATCGCGGGCAATAGCTTGGTATGTACTGGTCTTTATGTCACGGGAGGGCCAGGGGCGGACTGACAACACATGGGGCCCCCGGGCAATACGAGAGTATGGGGCCCCCTTGTGCTCCGCCCACATACAAGCCCCAACCGCATATACATTCCTGCACCCCCTGCATCCCTCTTCCTACACTGCCCACTTCTGCACGCCCTGCATCCCTCTTCCTACAATGTCCAGCTCTGCACCCCCTGTATCCCTCTTCCTACACTGCCCACCTCTGCACCACTCTTCCTACAATGCCCACCTCTGCACCCCCCTTTCTACACTACCCACCTCTTCACACCCTGCATCCCTCTTCCTACACTGCCCAGCTCTGCACACCCTGCATCCCTCTTCCTACACTGCCCACCTCTGCACCCCTTGCATCCCTATTCCTACACTACATACCTCTGCACCCCTCTTCCTACAATGTTCACCTCTGCGCCCCCAGCATCCCTCTTCCTACAGTGTCCACCTCTGTACCCCCAGCATCCCTCTTCCTACACCGTTTACCTCGACACCCCCTGCATCCCTGTTCCTACATTGCCCACCTCTGCACCCCCTGCAACCTTTTACTAATGCTTCTCACATCTGCACCCCCCCCCCCCTTCTACGCTGCTTGACAGGAGTGCAGAGGTGAACAGTGTAGGAAGAGGAATGCAGAGGGTACAGAAGTTAACTGAGTTGGAAGAGGGTGTGCAATGGGACTCCTCCTTCTCTTCCAACACATTGACTGCACGTCAGGAACACCAGAGCGAGAGGCGGGTCTCTAATCAGGCGGCTGTTTGCTAGGTCCTCGTGGCCGAGACCTCAGTGAGTGGCTGCATAATTTTTCCTGCTGAATTGTGCTTGGCCACTTATTGCGGGGCCATCTTGAATACTTATTGGTCCCTGGACAAGATCACCTGCCCCCCCACTTCCAGACCCGTATCCACCTCCAACACCTTCCCCCAAAAGATAGTAAAAAAATACAAATATATGTATACACACACACACACACACACATACTGTATGTGTATATATTATATATATTTATTTTGGGGGTGCACTAGTATCGGTGCGGATCCTGAGTATTTGGGTGAGTACTCATACTTGCCCAAATGCTCCCGATGCTTATCCTGATACCAGAACTTCCAGTATCAGAAAGCCAGGCAGCAAATTATTACATGATGCCCAGCATCCTGATTGGCCGAGAAGCCGGCTCCATGTTCCCTAATATCCAGGGAGCATGGAGCTGCCTTCCTGGCCAATCAGGAAGCCCAGCAGCCTGTAATGACTCGCCGCCCAGCTTTCTGATTGGTTGAGAAGTTGGCCAATCAGGAAGCTGGGCGGCGAGTTTACCTCCCTCCCCCCCAGGCTTTCCGATTCGCCAGAGTCCTGCTCCATGCTTCCTCGTCACCTGGTGATGAGGGAGCATGGAGTCGGCTTCCCAATGCATAGTTAAGAGAACTATGGGATAAAAAGGTTATTCTTTTTTAAAAGGTTTGGTAGTTCTCTTTTAAGTCCTATCCAGTAAACACATAAAAGAACAATGGCAATAATCACTATAAAGTATAGTTGGATCTAACTGCTCAGGAAAGGTACAGTACCTAAACACAAAAAAAAAAACATTTTATGCTATTATGGGAGTTTTACATACATATTGTGAATCCTAGTGTACGCTCTTGCCACAAAGCAAAAGCTTTGAAGATTTGTATTAGCATAGCTTCCTTCATTTTTTTTTTTATTGGGATAGTGTAAGAAGAAACCTTTGTCAGTTTTTATTTATTGTGGCCTGTGGCCTCAGTGAGGAACTTCCACCCACTTCCTGTGCCATTACCACATAGAATTAAAAGTACTTTTATTGCTGTCTGTGCCTCCACTGGAGAAACTGCTTATTTCTGGTCCTGATGACCGCACAGGAAGTAAGGGAAACTCCACACAAAAGGACTAAAACAAATGTAACCCTTCTCCACTCTAGCCAAAACTATTTAACAGGAAACAAATGACTGGCATTGAGCTTTTATTGAGAATAACAATACAGTCAGAAAGTCTATTTAGTTTACCTTAATCTTGTTCTATGTGATAAACTGTAGCAAGAACCCAGAGAGCTTCCCACACTCTACTTCTTAAAATCTGCACTACGCAACTTTTTTCAATTTGTGTTGCATATCCCTAAATGAATCAACTTTCCAAGGAAAGTTTAAATGTGTTTGTTAGCTGTAAAATGCTTTTTAGCCCTCATTCACACCCAAGCGTTTTGAATGCAGCCCCCATATTTAAGGAACGGTAAGCTGCAACATACCGTATATACTCGAGTATAAGCCGAGTTTTTCAGCCCATTTTTTGTGCTGAAAAGTGCCCCCCTAGGCTTATACTCGAGTCAGCGTCTCGAGCTGGTCAAGTTTCTTCTTACTTACCTCGCCTTACCTCGGCTTATATTCGGGATGGCTTATACTCGAGTATATACGGTATTACATTTTTGTTTTTGGCTTTAGATATGCTTTAAAGCAAACATGTACCTCCTGGACAGGAGTGTACCTGTAATGGTTATCATCCAGTGAGCCAATAGGCTGCAAAGTCAATACATAAGAAACCATTTTGGCTCCAGATGTACAAGTCATTTAACCTAGTAAAATAATATTTAATAAAAAGTATAAATAAGAAACTTGGCAAGGAGCTCAATAACACTGAAAGGCCAACGGAACTACAACCTCTGTTTTTTGAATGAGTACAATCAGATTGGGGAAAGCTTCACGCTGCTCTACAGAAGTGTCCACTTTCAGTACAAGGCGGAAAATACTCTGAATTCTGAACATATACCATCCTGACTTTCTAAGTTTAGAGTACACAATCAGCTACTGCATTTAACATAAATACAATATGCAACATACCGGCAAAGCATACTTGGCATCAACCACTGATACAATACCTGTAAAAATCAGAAAAAAGACCCTATATTAGTTAGTTTAAAGTGCAAATAAGCATCTCAAAAAGGAAGACCTTCTAAATAAATGTATTTTTTTAATTGGAGGCCCCCTAAGAAAATAGGCAATACTCTTTGCATGCATCCCAAGGATATTTTTTCAGTTTTGATTGAAGTATGAACACCCCTTAATTAGTTTTTAAGCATAACCCAGTCTTAACTTATCTAGAAGAAGACAGTATTGCTTCACCCTGCTGGGCCTTGCCCACAAGTGGCTGGTGGTTCTGGTCAGCATGTGAAGCACCAAAATGATGACTCCAAAGTGTGAAATACAAGTTCAGTGACTTCAAACAATGCTCCCTGGCAAATATAGGCCATAAGAGTTTGCCTTATAGTGCTTTGCACTTTAGTTAGGTCACTTCATATTCTTTCCAGAAACATCAAATGCAGGTTTTATGGTTCAGGAAAGGCACGTGATGCTATAAAGACATTTTACAGTCAAGAAACCCCCCACTATAGGTTTGTTAAGTGTTCCCATTCATACAGCATACCATAAAAATATATTTTTTTTATATTTCTTAACTTTTTAGTTGTTTTTTTGGAGCAGGATTATACATAGGATATACTGTACTATATATATATATATATATATATATATATATATACACACACACACACATATATATATACACATATACACACACACACATACACACACACATACACACACACGGACACACAAGGAACAGTCCTGCACATCTAGCGGATAATAAAATCTGCCAGTAGAGTACAGTCAGGGTTAAATAAGGTAAACATTAACTCCCCAGCATTCTCATAAATATAAAATAGAAGGGGAAGCTAAGTAGGATTTTTAAGGTATTGTTCCCTGGCAAATGTACGCAAATAATACTTTACAAAAGGAGAGTCCAGAGTCATTGCCAATTATGTGATCAATTTGTCTTCATAGCCTTAAAAAAAATGTATGCAAATTGGAGTTACTTTAACAATTGCTAATGCTGTTAAATTTCACTTGGTCATCCTTGAACTCTGGACACTAAAGAGTAATGTAGAAATCATATCACTAATCAGAAATATGCTGTACATATTTTACTATCAGCAGAGTCTGACAAATTTTAATCAGTATTTTAAAAACTATTAGAGTGATGGGAAGTTAGCATGTTTTAGATTTAGTGCTTTAAAAAGTGAAGAGGGTCTCATTTCTTAATGTAACCTAATGTAAACTATCAATACTGTTAAATACAAACATTTTCAGGTGCATTTTTAAATATGATTGGTTACTGTGAAGCAATACAAATGTTTTATACAAATAACACTTTGGTACATAACACCCAGTGTAAATAATAAAAGTGAACCAATCACTGTTTTAAATATTGATTTAACATTATAGGCTGAAACAGATCCTGGAAGACACCTGCAGAAGAACATATTTGTTTGAAACTAATTGTGTTGCACTCAATAGTGGTGTGACTCTGTATGCTATTTACTCATTTTTTAATTTTTTTTTTATTTTGTTGATGTTTATTACTGCAAATTTCCTTTGGTAGAGAAGGATGGTTAAAAAAAATGAACCACTCTGGGTGTCGAATACACTAAGTATACCACATTTCTTATGATTGTATTTATTATAATGTCTACAACTTATCAATCACACAAATGTACTATAACATTGAGATACAATTTTCAACAGGGGGTTCCTGAGACCTGCATATTTTTTAAGAGCTCCTCTGTGGAAAAAGGGTTAAGGATGATGAGACACTCACCCTTTCTCCCTGAAGCGTCTTTTAATACCCTGCATCCTCATATTGCATGCAGAAGTGCTGCGTGCACATATTGCAATAAGAAGCACTTTCCATTGGTCAGCGTGGTCAGGTGATCGCGCTGATCAATGACTTCTCCCATTTGTGAGCATTATTCCATATAGAGAGTACCGGGCTGCAATGCTGTGTCCCATACACTGGCTGCAGCAGGGGGAAATGGTGGCTCCCCCAAGGTATAACTTTGAATAAAGATGTCATCAGCACACTAGCACGACAGTATTTAAGTCAGTGCAGAATATCTTGATCATATCAAGATATTCTGAGTGACATCTATCAATAAATGGATTTGCACTGACTTAAATTCTGTCGTGCTGGTGTGCTGATGACATCTTTATTCAGTTATACTGTGTGCGGCACCATCCATGGTCATTTCTAGCACCCATCAACACTTTGGGATTTCCGGTAAGGAGTGCTACAAGATCTACCTAGCACCTAGCATTTTCAGGCGCAGAGCAATGGCAACCTAAAAATATCTTGCATTAGTGAATTATTAGTAAACTGAAAGAGAGGGTTTCAATAGAGCATTCCAGCCCTTCAGAGTACAGTAGATTTATTTTACATTATTTTTCAATCTGTATACACCGTTTCCACTCTGTGCTTACCATCCAGGTATATGTCACTTCCCAGTTCAGCATCAACCCAAAACATGGAGGCCACAGCACCTTAAAATAAACAAAAAAGTTGTTGAACCATTATAAACCTCTGCATTTCTAATGGTGTTGGTTAAACAGCAGTCAAACCAACAGAAATCTGCAAGTCAAAATGTAATATTCTATATACCGTGTTTCCCCGAAAGTAAGACCTACCCCGAAAGTAAGACCTAGCGCTATCTTCGGGGATTTCTGTAATATAAGACCTACCCCGAAAATAAGACCTAGTGTCTTATTTCGTGCAAAAAACATAAATAAGACACTGTCTTATTTTCGGAGAAACAGGGTATCAGAACTAATTTTGCAGTATATAAATTCAAAGTGCAGATTGGACACTTAAATCAACATGTCTTACCCAACACAAGGAAAGAGACATTTACAGAATTTAACTATTGATGGCAAACCCAATTTGCCACCAATCAACCTTAAATTCAAATGCACATACCATAGAAAAAAAAAAGAATTATGTTCCAGTGGATGTCGCTCGAAAGAGCCAAAACTGCTCTGATCCTGAACCTCTATCCTATCTACACCTCTAGACCATCTACACCTATGGTTCTCAACTGGTGGGTTGTGACCCCATGTTCAGTTGGTCGCCACATGCCTTTCACTGCACTAGGTGAGAGGCTCATTGGCCTCCCCCATCGCGCAGCACTGTCAGTTTTTGTGCCCAGCAGCTATTCAAAATATGCTGCCTGGTGGTGAGTGTCAGTTTGAGGTGGGGTGGGCTGTGGGTATGGCCGTGAGGAAGCTCCATCCATACGTGCATTGCTTACAGCTCCCTCGCATGACCGGAATTACGTCACATTCTGGCTCCCGGGCACCTCTACAGAGAGTGCAAGGAAGCTGTTAAAGCACTGCACTTGTGGATGGAGCTCTGTCACAGCACAGCAGCCTACACTGAATCCCTAAAAATTTTTGGGAGTGTGTATGTGTCTTAGAATGTCTGAGTATGAGAGATTGAGTCTGTGGTTGTGTGTGTCTGCCATTGTTTTAATCGCAAACTAACATGCAATCGCACATACTGTTCAATCTTATACGAGAGGTGCTTTGCTTTGCCATTCATTTGGATGGCACCCCAAACACTACTCTCGCCCACAATTTGATCGCTTGCACCGGAACATGTGGTACCGCATTGCCGTGCGTTCCAGTGTGGTGCGATTTTGTTTGCGACTTAATGACCAAGGACAAATGTGGGTCCTGAGGTTATACACGTTGAGAACCACTGATCTAGACTATCTAGACCTGGAGCATCTCTATCTACACCTAGTGAGTGATGGCTGTCCCTGTAAATTCTGCATCAATTATTCTAATCTATACATGTTGTTAATTATTTCTACACAAAACACAAACAAGAAATCTTGAAATAGGATGACTCAAATAAGCAACACACAACAGGTCTTGTATTTCCCCAAACAATTATCTAACTTGGTTACCAAGGAAGCTTTATTTATCTTTTATCTGTTCCTTTTAAGTGTGACTCCTACTGCTAATATAGATAGCATGTCACTTACATTAGATTGTAAACCATTAAAAAAAGGCTTTTATAGGGCTCAGTTTTTGAAAATCACCAGATAACACTTATAACATTTATCAGCTTATTGCAAACACATTGTCCTATTTAAAGGTAACCCATTGTGATTCATTATATTTTTATAAATGTTCAGTGCCAAAAATGTATGTTTTTTTTTAATCAAGTAAATATGTAATATTTTATATTTACCATTTACTGCCAGCAGGTAAAATATTAGTTTCCCCCAGCAGATCCATTTCCCACCTGTGTTTGTCCTACAGGAGTGCGCTCTAACCACTGTAGGTAAAATATTAGACCAATGCTCAGTGAATTTTATTCCTCCCAACTGCAGTGCTTTAAAGCCACCTCAATGAGTCAGTGGTGCAAAACCTTCCCCCTCTATTTCTGCTAGCATAAATGACAAAATATTTTAACTAGGGGTATAAAAATCTATGCAGTGCTGGACATTTTTTTCTTAGAAATCCCAGTTTAAAGCAGAACTCTGGGCAGCATTGTTCTTAACCCTTGCAGTGGGGCTACCCCCACACAGCAAGGGCTAAGTGCTCATTTTTGTCTAGGTGCTAAAAAACGTTATACCTACCTGATCCTCCAAGTCGGCTTGCTCTTAGACGAGTCCTTCAAGCCTCTCTCCCCCTCCACTGCATCGGTCTAAGGTGCCGTAATTAATTACGGTCTATACACAGTGTATAAGGGTGAGGACGCTGAGCAACATTTCAATGCTGCAGCCTTAGAGGAGAGAGGCTTCAGTGACCAGAGAATGACATATTGGATGACACATAGTGGCTCCACAGGCATGCTGAGGATATTTTTAAATCTTCTTGAGAAGATGTTTACGCAATGTTTGTCATATTTTGGTTTAATTATGAAGTACAATAAAATTGTGATAATTTTTCATACATGTTTGGTGAGACTTTTGTGGGTTCTGAACAGTTCATTTTTATATTTGCCAAACAGTGGACCATTCCCACACATTTCTCTCGAATCAGTATATCCATGAGTGGTATTAATTTTTAGACTCTTAGCAGTGTATATATTTGGACAGAGGCGGCTCTTTAATTAGGAGGTCGCCTTAGGCCCCGCGCTCCCGAGGGCCTCGCGGCCGCCTAGTTTGCCCTGCCGGCACATTACCTCGAAGCCAGGTAACGTTATGAGCTCTCAGCCCTGTCGCTGTCAAACTGAGACTCTCGGTCCGTCCATTCGGCCGGTAGTCTTCTGGAGCTCCACCCACCAGCCAATGAGAAGAGACCTCACCCCTCCCATCCACTGCGCGAGGATCCCGATTTGGCCGGGAGGGCGGAGTTCAATCTGGCTGGGAGGGCGGATCATCAGGGGCAGATGGACGGAGACATAGTCAGCAGCGGCTGGTCCTGCACGCTCCCACCTGCGAGACGCTCCCTGAACAGTCCTGGTGAGAGACAGCCTTCACAGGCTGCAGCAATGGTGAGAGCCCTGTGGAGAACCTAGAGAGCCATGTGGAGAACCTAGAGAGCCCTGGTTTAACCAGGGCTCTGTGGGGTCTCGCCAGCTGTATGTGGGGTCTAACAAGGCTGGTTAGACCCCACAGAGCCCGGCTACACTGGTGAGATCCACTCAGAGCCCTGGTGAGTCCCCAGAGAGCTTTGGTGAGACCCCACAAAGCCATGGTGAGACCCCACAAAGCCCTGGTGAGACCCTATGGAGCCCTGGTGCTTGTGAGACCCCACATCACCCTGGTGAGACCCCACAAAGCCATGGTGGGACCCCTAGGGAGGCCCTACAGAGCCCTGGTGCTGGTGAGACCCCACATCCCCCTGAGAAGACCAGGGCTCTGTGGGGTCTCACCAGGGCTCTGTGTGTCTAACAAGGCTGGTTAGACCCCCACAGCGTTATATATTTATATATATTTGATACATTTGCATATATATATTATACATCCCCTTTAATAATATTTTTGTGAAGTAAACAAACACTTCTGCCATGATTCCACTGAAATAAAAGATTGTTGTCTTCAAAACACAGCATTTTACATTAGGAAAACAGATAGCCTGATACAAAACATCTGAGCCTTAAGCACAATTTAATAAAGCTCCCCTTTCCAAGCTCTGAGTGACACCTGTCTCTTCTAGATTCCTGTAAATAATAAAATGGGGCCTTATGTTTTTAAATAGCCTACATTAGCATGTCTCTTTGCAGCAACATCACACAGAGAGAAATAATGACAGCACAGAGATCTATTACACTTTCTGAAAAGCACCACAGACATGTGCATGGCAGAGCTGTCCAAACAGATGAGGAGCAGTAGTAAAAAGGCTCGCTGAGGCAGCAGGAGCTGTCTACTCGCATGATCTGATTTGGTTTTCGGAGCATCACTTTATGTCAACATTGTAATACTTGCCAGCAGCTTGAGCTGCTTAACCATGCACGGTATAGGAAGGGCCAGAGGATCTGATGGTTTCTTGATACAAATTGATTTCTTTCCCAAAAAGCTTAATCGTTTTCCAATTTGGCCTAGATGGTGTTTGCAGGTAATGGGGGCTGAATCAATGTCTTATCCTTTAAAGAAGATTACTTTAGCATGACAATTATTTGGCTAGGAAGCCATGTGTGTCAGGTTGATGAACGAGAAATAACTGAAGTGTCAATATACATTGTTTCTGTGTGACAAAAGGACTACCTACTCTTTACTTTTAAGTATAAACACCTCTAAATGTACAATTAAAGTACATCTAATCACAAGCACTAAAATCTCAAATAAGCTTTTATATATGTTAATGTACCTTCATATCAGTATTTTTAAATCTGCCACTTTCATTACCATAATACTGGGTGATCCCCTCAAACAAATCTAGAGGCGTGTCCATTGTCATACACAGACACGTACCTTTCACAGCCCAGGCTGAACTCAAAGATCCTGAAGGACGCTACCTAGCCCTGAAGGGAATGATAGGCCAGACCCAGGTAACGATAGCATCAGTGTACTCACCCAACAAGCAACATGCCAAGTTCCTGAGCAGATTCCTCTCCCTCCTCTCCGATTTTGCAGAAGGTATGCTGATTGTAGGAGGCGACTTTAACGCCCCGCTAGAGCCACTCCTTGACACCTCGAACAAAAAATCCTCTCAGGACCCTCAAGTTCCTTAAACAGCGCCTGACTAACCTGCGCCTCTCATCCATTGGATACAAGTGAAGGAGATGGAGACGCTGGTGCTGTCAACAGACGCTGAGAAGGCGTTCGATAGGGTGGCGTGGGACTTTATGTTTCAGGTCCTCCGCCACATAGGACTGGGAGACCGCATGAGACACTGGATAAATGCTATCTATTCCTGCCCCAAAGCCAGGGTACGTACGATGGGATGCCTGTCCGACAGCTTCCAAATCACCAACGGGACTCGTCAAGGTTGCCCGCTATCGCCCACACTTTTCGTCCTGACCCTGGAACCATTTATTAGACTAGTGCAGACAGACCAATCCATACACGGAATCCAGATAGGAGATACGGAACACAAAATAATGGCGTATGCAGACGACCTACTCTTCTTTTTAACAGATGCCCAGACCTCGCTACCGCGTCTGATGTCTCTCTTTGACTTATATGGCTCACTATCCAACCTCAAAATAAATTATACCAAATCAGAAATCATGCCCCTCAAAGTACCCCACGAGACTAGGTCACAACTACAATCATCCTACCCCTTCCAATGGTGCCTCAACCACTTAAAGTACCTAGGCATCAAGCTGACCTCGGACTTGACCCTCCTCTACGACGCGAACTATGCGAATCTCCGGGACTCTATCCTCCAAGACCTTCGAAACTGGAGGGCACATACTTTTTCTTGGCTTGGACGTGCAGCCCTATTGAAAATGAACATACTCCCCAAACTTCTATATCTATTTCAGGCTGTACCCATTAAGCTGCCACGCTCCTTCTTTCGCCAACTAGATGCCGCCTTTTCCTCCTTTGTGTGGCGTGATAAACGCCCACGCCTATCATGGTCCCTCCTCAAAACCACTAAACAAAATGGTGGATTGGATATCCTCGACATGTATACTTACTATAAAGCGACTCACCTCACCAGGGTACTTCACTGGCACATACACACTGATACTAGGCTATGGGTGAAGCTACAAGAGGCAATGGCGGACAACCCCCTATCTTCTCTGATATGGCTACAAGAAACGTCTTGGCCAACTATACTAAAAAATCACCCCTTTATTGGAGCTACGCTTGAAGTCTTCGCCGTGACGAGACGACTCACCAACCTAACATCTCTACACGGCCCCATGACACCAGTGACGAACAACAGAGACTTTCCTCCAGGTGTCACAAGGGACTTCATGACGCACTGGTCCCAAGAAACACCCCTGAGAGTACACCAGTTTTTCAAAGATCACACATTTCTACCCAAATCTGAGCTCTCAGAACTCACCAAACGAGGCTCACTACCCTGGTGGGTGTACTTACAAGTCCGACACTTCTTGACCTCTAAGGGCCACAACCCCAATTACACCAGGTCACTCACCTCATTCGAGAATACCTGCTCAGGGAATGGACCAACGAGACACTTAATTTCATGGCTGTATAACCAGTTGCGAAGTGACGTTGCCTCACGTATGAATAGACCGGTGGTATCCATGCGTACATGGGTCGCACATGTTCCTTTTGGTGCGACACAGGGAACCCGCCAGCTCATCCGCAGATGTTATATGTATAGACAGTGAATACTAGCTGGCAATGTTTATTCCTACTGTTTCTTTCCTTTTGTTGGTCCGACCGACCTTAAGGTCAGTACACCTTTTGTTAACGCATATCGGTACTTGATTTATACCAACGACTGTACTCATTGCATGCCATGTTACTTGTTGAAAACTAATAAAAACCATTTGAAATAAAAAAAAAAAATTCTGGGTGATCCTGGCATGGGGGTCCTTGTTCAGCCACCTTCTATTAGAGGGTGGCAACGCTCTGTCCCTGTCTCCCAATTGTTCTCCAGCGTTGTTACCCTATCACTTACACCCTAGATGGAGACTATAAGCAGCTATGCAGACACACATTGGTCCATCGTTGTCACTATCAGGAAGTCAATCCAGAGAAATAACTAGCATCTAACTAGCCAAAGCAAGAGCAAGTGAATGTAGACAAGTGGCTGCAAAGAAGCTGCAGATAACCAGTAACACTGAGAAGCAACAAATAATGAAAAAAAAGGGGCAAACTGTATTTTATGAAAAAAAAAAACAATAACATGGCAATTGTTTATAATGCGGATTGCTTTAGTACACTTAATGTCATCCAGTTAGGGGTGACTTATGGTTTACTATGATAACCTTAAAGGATTGTTTTAAACTTTTGGGCTTAACCCCTCTCCTGATTTTGCCACGAAAAACTAATAACATGTTTTAATTTTAGACTGTTAAATGCAGCTTTTATTGTGTTACTTAAGGCAAATAGACTGATTTTGGAAGCAGGTACTGTGCTTACATTTTTACATTGGTGGAGAGTGAAGGAGAAGAGGAAGTGCTACAGATCTGTGATTGAAAAGACTTTGTGTTCACTAACTTCTGCAATGTTTTGTGTGGCTGCTCCTACCTCTAGCACGTCTGACGTCTTTTGTATAATTGTCGTAGCACAGCAAATCCTTCTTTATATTGTCCCGTTGGGTCCAAAGCTCCACTCCAGGGTTAGGGAACCTCATATGAGGCATAGCAAGACTGACAGCCACAGACGTTACTTCCAGAGGCAGAGGCATGATGGGATTGTAGTTTCACCACAGCTGGAGTGCCAAGGTTGCCTATACCTTCCCTATTCCATAGAAGCCTTGGTTTTCATACACTGCACCAAGGATGGCCAAAATGCCTGAAACAGATGTATGCAGCTTGGAATAAATGGCTCTATAATACTAGGCACTAACTGTACTATACACCAGTGGTTCTGGGTGAGCATCTGGCTTATGGGGCATACAGGAATGAATTGCATCGCCCTGTCCATAATAATACTAATACATAATGAGATAATGAGACATGTAAATACCTTCTGTTCTAAGAAGACTCTACCATGCTACACACTGACTCAGTTGGAGGGCATTTTGATTCCTTTAGTCCCTTTTATGTATAGTTATACTATGTCACTAATTGTGTACACTACAATTTTGACTGAGACCCCGAACACACTTGGGTGTACGTTTAATAAACCGTGATAAAACTAGCTTTATCACGAATTAACTTTACTCAGCAGATCACTTTGTTTTTCTCGGCTGCAAAGAGGCTGTTTAATAACCTGCGAAAAGAAAACGTATCACACGAAACAACTGTGAAAGGCAGTGATAAGTCATCACGGTGATCAGTAGAGAAAGCAATGTGGGGAATGTATTCTGAGCTGCACAATGACATCCTTTGTGATAAACTACAATCCTCCTGACAGGATCATAGTTTACTCTGCCAACCCACCCAATAACAATATTACAAAGCACCTCTATAGCAAAGTGCAACAGTTATTTCTCTGTTAAAATTATGAAAAATGCTAAAAAGCAGGATTTACATGTTCTGATTTGTTCAGCATAAACCAGTCCAAAATCATAAATCGAACTACCAAACACACCGAAAAGGTGCTCCGCACTCCATTTACTAATTAAATAAAATCCCAATGTAATTAAAGCATGTACCCATGTAGATAATCGCCAAATGTGATGAAACACCCCCTTCACCTTTGCCTCACACTCACCTCTTACTCATATAACCCCTTTGGTGTCCGTAGCAATCTGGCCCTTTTTGCCCTGTCATTGTTCCACATTATTCCTATGTTTCTCCTTCCTCACGCCCAAACAAATTCTCATTTGTTTTTTATGGATTCAAATTTGTCTTTTATTTGATGTGACATATGCATCTGGCAATTTTTTTTATGAGGGAGGGATACACAAAAATGCCACCCGGGGACATCCCAAAATTATTACTTTTGACCCTACCAATGTATGGATAATTATTGCCGCTAACAGAGAGTAATGCGTAATATATTTGAAAAGGGTATATCATATGTCCGTTATTTCAGTTTATTTGTCGAGTAATATGTGCCCTATTCATTTGTCAAAACAGGACAGACAAAATCTGTGCTCCTACATTACATTTTATTCTCATTGAGGACACTAAGGGCTAGTTCACACCAAGCACGTTCCAGGAGCATAGCAGTTACAGACCAGATCAAAACTGTGTCCCATGTATTCCAACGGTATTTTTGGCTCTAGTTCACACCACAGTGTTCAATTCCAGAGCATGTCAAAAAACTGCAGCAAGCCTTATTTTTGCTGCTCTGTAACGCATGCAAACACAGGCATCATTAACCCCTGCAATACCCAATCATGTTCCTCTGGTGTATATGACTTAGTAAGAGCAAGGGTAAAATTTCCTTACAATCAAAAAATAAATAAAATTGTTTGAGTGCAAAGTATAGTACCTGGATCTGCCAAGCCTGTTGTTTCCAGTAGTATGTAATCAAACTTTCCTTTCTTCTGCATTAGATTTTCAATTGCTTTTAAACCATTGTCCCTGAAACAAAATAGGACACAGTTTATAGCATACAAGAAGAGAGCACAAGGTTGACTGTAGAATAACGATGTATATCAGAAGATGTGCTAAATGTACATGAGCTTAAAGTGTATTTCCACTTTTGCAGTCAAATTTGGGAAGACCCCATCATATTTTTATTATGCATTCCCTTTGTGCAGATTCCATGCTACTCTTAACTCTGTTTGAAAGTGAAAGTAGAGGGACAAACTGAGCTTCCTCTCATTAACATACAATGCTTCTTGGAGGACGCTAGTTAGTGTCCTCCCGTTACCCTAAGGAGAACTATGGGGAACAACGCTGACCCCATAGTTCTCCTTTAACCTTTTATAAGGACAGGCAGTGTTCACATCTAGTTGAAATGAAATCTGCCATGAAAGCAGCGACAGGGTTAATTAGAGTAAACAACTTCCTACAGACCCTCCTTAACAGTAGACATAGGGGGGAGCTAGGTAGGATGTCTAAGCAAGTAGAAATCACTTAAAAATGTAAGCAGTAATTTTGAAATATTTTATTTAAAATATGCTATGTAAATGGGAACATGTAACAAATATAAAGTAGGGTTTATCTTGCTTTGGCTGCAAAAGTGTTGTTGAAAATGTTTTTCTAGGTAAGGTGAAGTTTGGGGTAAAAGAGGCCTAAAGAAATGTTCTGCTATGGAACTCAGCCTACCCTCACATTCCATCCATATTAGCCATTTGCAAGTTCTCCTATTCCTATGAAGGAGCCACTAAAGGGTGCACAATACAATATTACTGGGCTTTCTCACCTTTAGCAGATTCTCCATATAGAAAACTCAGTTAGTGACAAAGTTAGCTCTCTTAAGGCTAATCTATTATAGCCATGCTGAGATCTTGGACAACAGTGATTACCCAAAAGAGGATTCAAGGCATGGCCCACCTCACCCAAAAAGCAGAGAGAGTTTTGGGCTCTGCCAGTTTTGGGCAGAAATGATAGAAAAGTCAGCGTTATGACAAATAATTTGACATCTGTATTTCCTGAACCTTGTTTTAAATGTATTAGCATCCATCCTGTGAATTTGTTTAGTTTTGGATAAAGTTGTGAGAACTTAGAGCCACTTTTATAGCCATTAAGGAGATTTGCCTACTCTATTATTCCTAGGACCACTGTTACCAGAACAGAACGTGAGGAAAATTTTAATATTTGAAGTAACAACTGCAAGATGACATTTCCCTCACACTGAAGAGATTTCTTCTTACTTAGTGTTATGTCTATAGGACAGGAAGTGAAGGAAAATCTCCACAATGTGACAAAGATGCAAAAAAAACCTTGACCGGGCTTTTACTTATTCCCTACACTATCCACTAAAAAACAAAATTTTTGTCTTTAGATAAGACTTTGAATTAAAACATCCATTTCAATCATGACTAGTAGCTGCCATTTCAAATCGTGATAGTGTGAGTGCAACAAAAAACGATGAAATGAGAGCAAAGCTGACACACTATCTGCAAGGCATACAATATCAATGCATTTGGAGTAGGAAGGGAGGTGTTTATGTAGCCTCAGGGTTCACAAACAGACCAGCTTATTTCAGTTAGGGGAAAAGGGAGTCTGAGAGGCTGATTTCCAGAAACTGGAGCCCCACAGACATCAGGGCATAACAGCCATACTGCTTAAGCTCACCTTAAGCGTTACAATCTGACCATATATGACCTTTATACAGTCTACTTTACATTTAACAATATTATGTAATTTGGGGGCTTACCTATCCAATCGGTCTGTATCCAATCAGACAGACCATTACAGTACATAGTTGTTGGTAGATCTACAGGAGATTGTAAATTCAGATTGTATAGTGTGGTGAATTTAAGACGTCACCACAAGATTCTGTCAGACCAGGGCTGAACAAACCTCAGAAGACAGGTAGCCAAGGCCCCCAACTTTCAAGGTTTTCCCTAAATGTTGGCAATAGAGCTGGCTCCTAAAAAAATTACTCCTGGACAGGACAGACTGGATCCTGAATTCCATAACAATGTGTCCACCCCCGAATTAGACATTGTTATAATGATTTTGTTTTGCCGTTAATATCTACAGGTATTGCCTCCATCTTCTTTCTTTGTAGCATCATCCAAGAAAGTATAGTCATTGCCTCATTCTGTATGGGCACCTACCAACATCAAACCATACTTACTTCACTGAGCAGCACAGGCAGCCATTTCTAAGTTCCAACCATTCCTCATACAACTCGCCAGCTTGGCTGATAGCTAACGACTTTTCTACAGCACTGCCTGCAACACATACAAGATATATTTAGCAAATGAGGTGCATAACATTTAAAGACCAGATTCTGACAAGACTTTTTTAGCTTTCAAGAATCTTGGAAATGGGTCTGCATTGTCACTTTTATCCCTGTTGGAAAGATTTTCCCTCACTTCCTGTCTCAGTAACCACACAGAAAGTGATGACAGAGACAGCAATATCATCTTAAAGGTTCTAACCATTCTCTGCCCTGCATAAAAGTTATTGTGTTTCTGTCTATGTCCCCTGAAGATAAATTGCTAATTTCTTGCCTGGCCACATAAAAAGGAAGTTAAAAAAACAGTTCTAACCCTTAGCTTTTTTTGTTCAGAATAAAAAAAAAAAATTATATACAGTTTTGGCTGGAGATTGGATGGAGGTTTTAAGATTACTAAAGGCAATTCTATTCTCATCATAGAGCAGTGGCCTTTTGGCAAGTACATTAAAAAAAACAGCGCACTTTCCACTAGCGGTGAATAAGATTATCTTAATGGGACATAAAACAAGCTAAGGGATAACAGCTACTTGCCAAGTTCTCTAAACTTTGATCCACTGTTCCTTATTTGTGTTCATTTTCACCTGGCGCTGACTCGAGTATAAGCCGAGGGGGGCACTTTTCAGCCAAAAAAATGGGCTGAAAATCTCGGCTTATACTCGAGTATATACGGTAATGTTTTAGTTGTCATACCTACTATACCTAGTTAATAGAAGAACTTTAACATTCCCTTGGGAACTGATGTTAAATGCAGGGCTTTATGCTATAATTAGGACTGTTGAATAACTATACAAGGTTCAACGGTGTTTTGATGCCAGGGAAACAATATAAAACAAAACACATAGAGAGCAATGGAACATACTATGTATTGATAATTAATCGCTAACAGTAGCACAATGCTCCAAATTTCTGCAGTTGCTACTACATGCGACTGCATGTGTAGCGATTTCTAGCATTTAATCAGGAGATTGTGAAAGAGGATCACACTCTAGCAAAAATCACTTGTGTTTGCAGTATTAAGCTGGCCAGACATTTGTAGATTTTTGTAAAAATGTTCATATGAAAAATCTCGTCAGAACAGTCGATAATTCCATCAAAGACTGTTGTTTGAAAATCAATTGACTTTTACATTTGATTTTGGAGATGAATGGAGTCTCAAACCAAAACCACATTCAATGTTAGAATTTTGTTACATTTTTCTTCCTGCTCCTTCGATTTATTTTTTTATGTCACCACGGTCAAAATTGATTGTCATGTTGCTCCCATTAACTATTACAAAATTGAGCATTCCAAAAACAAGAACATTTTTTTTTTTCTAATACAATTCTACTGGTGTACAGCCAGCTTTAGTCATATGGCAAATGTCAGCCCATCTAAACTTTCATGGCATAAGCACTCTCCCCAGTGGATCCAATTTTGGTTGGCTTGTACAGATTTTAGGTCCCAAAAGCAGGTAGAGTATACTGAAATTTGATCAAAAGTGGCTGCAAAACACAGAAACATCTAATTTTTTTCCACTTTAAAAAAGATGATGAACACATACAGTATGTATGGCAAAAGCAGCACCTGGCGGTTTAGTTAGAGATGTAGAGCTCTAATTACACACCTTAGTGGCTGAGAAGAATTTAATGAGGTACAGCATACCATAACATGGTGCAATGTGAAGTAAGCAATTCATTGGATTTCCCCTTTCAGTTTATAGGGATCCCAACCTATTAAAACATCAGCTTTGCTGGGGGAAAAAACAAACAATAACCTCCAGACTAGCTATATGTATTGCAGTGTCTTAAGCAAGCTTAATTGAAGATGTTTACCTGCCTCGGTTTTGGAGATCTGACATAAGCCTTGCTCAGCTCCTCTCATTTATTCTCAGTGTTGTAATTAGGGATGGGGATAAAATGGGGCATTCTTTTACATGTGCTCCTGCTAAAAGTGTCTCACCAAAATTAAACTCTAGCTGCAGGGATGCCTATAATATGACTTTCTGCAGACTTCTGGGGAAAGCAGTGAGACATTCACAAGAAAGCTTACGAGATATTTTGGAAGGCATGTTACATGGTTACAACAACAAAATAACTTGTCTAGTAAGTAAATGTCGTACAATTTTCAATGAAAGTGTAGCATTCCAATAAATAGCAATTCCAGGCAATATATTAAACCAAAAAGTGAGCAGCTAAAGGTGGCATACATTGTACAATTTTCGCTCAGAAATCGTACACAAATGGTCTTTCGAGCAAAAATCAAAAAGTTGATAGTACATCACCGATTTTCATTTTGGTTGTTGTGATCGAAATTTTTCGATTGGTCAGGTTGGAAAATGTTTTTCTGACTTTGAACGAAAAGCAATGAATGGGTTTTCGCTCGTCAAAAATCTCAGCAGGAACACAGCACATGCACAAAAAGAAAATATTTCAGACGTTCATCAAAAATTGGTTGGTTACTATGGCTAACGAATGATTTCTGAAATCGACATTTGACTATGCTTGATGGGTATTCAGGCTATAAATCGAACGAAGGGTCGTGGCAGAAACAAAAATTTCCCAACAAAAATCTACTAGTGTATGGCCACCTTTAGACTAATCAGCAATTGAGGCTGTGCTAACATTAGAATTAAAAGAGAACTATGGGTTCCCTTCTTCCTCCCCTCTATGCTGGGGTGAACGTGGAAAAATTGGACCACAATCCTTCATATTTGGTGGGCACGTGACGCCATACGTCAGTATTGGAAAATCGTTTTCAGATTCGTTTTCTCAATTACTAGCATCCCTCAGTTCATGCCTTCTCCCCAACTAGCTCTCCTAGGTATGGGCTTGGATGTCTGGCCCCTTTCACAGCGCACCTTTGTAACTCATACACTAATAGCTGCTAGACTGGCAATTGCCAGGAAATGGAAACAGATTACTACACCTACCCTATCAGAAACAATTGACATACTCAACACCCATGCCCAATTTGAATGTATTTTTACAAAAGTACGATGTAAGGGGGAGATCTTCCCCAAAAACTGGAAATGCTGGCTCGATTACCCTCGATGCACAGTATATTTAACTTGATAAGTGACTGGAATTTGTATTACTCTCATTGGTCCTTCTCTCTACAGACTTCACTCCTCGCTTTGTAACCTCCCCTTACTCCGCTTCTCTCTTCTTCCTTGTTCCTATACGTATTTCTATAAGCTGTACAACAGGTGCATGTCCCTGTTACTCAGATGTACCATACTAATTGTTTTTTTTTTTGTTTTTAATCCTGTCTGTAAAGTTTTAAACTTTAATAAAGACTTCATGTTTAAAAAAAAAAGAGAACTATGGGGTTAAGTGTGAGTGACAGCGGGCTCTGCCGATCTAGAGGCAGAGCCGGCTGTACCCGCCCGCTTCCCCGTCCGTTCTGCCAGTCAGTGCTGAAAGATCAGAGAGGGGAGGGGGGAATCCCTGCTGGAAGCCGTGACTGACAGTCACCGCTCTCTGCAGGGAGATGATTGAGAAGTGAGTGAGCGATGGTATGTGTTCGCTCACTTCCCGATCTATTGAGCCGACGTGTGACAGTTTAATTGTCACACGTCGGCTCTAACTATGAGGATGAGTGATCCTTTAAATTTACCTCAAATTATATTTTTGTGTAATCCACTGCAACAAGCCCTTGTACACCCCCACACAGCATCAATGGAAGTGCACTGTGTAAATGGTGTGCAGTGCAAAGTCCTCTCCCTCTGCTCACTAGATCACCAATAATCCTGAGCCTGGACTTGGTGTGAACCCAGTTTGCCAGAGGTCGCCCAGGTGCGCTAAAAACTGTGACTGCCACCCCCTCCTCCTTACCCAATCAGTTGTGGATAGTCACACTCCCCGCTCCGCAGCCATATGGCACAGAGAGGCAGTGAATGACCCAACGGCAACCGCCACCACTGATTGAGCCAGGAGGGGAAAGTGGCAGTCACAGTTTTGAGTGGGCTTTGACAAGTGGGTTTCGCACTCATTTCTAATCACTAATCACATTTAAACTTCCAATGAATATTTGAATCTGATTTGTGGCTGTAAGAAACCCCTCAGTACTGACCCTTTTTTAAAGCAGACTTTCTGTATGAGCTAGGCAGCAAGAAGCCTGAGCTGGGTGTGTTTGGCAATGGCTATTCTCGTCACAAGCAGAGGTTCTCAGAAAAAAAGAAATAGAACTGCTGAGCAGTGAGGCTATACTCCTTTTAATCAGCTCAGTGTTTTCCAATTCTGACTAGACTGTACAATTCATTCAAGAAAGAAACAGTTGCTATATTAAAGTATTTCCACTAGATGTCAGAGCTGTGCCATCAACCTTAGAGGAAACAATGCTTTTGTACCCTACAATCAGCCACCAAAGACTATAACAAAACCAAAGCTACTTAATATTAAACAGATAGTAGCTAAAATCACTATATTGGTTTATTTTATTTAACAAGAAATTATGTATTCCACAGCCTACTCTTCTTATAATGATCAACAACATATTTACCTTCACCAAACTCATTAACAATGACTGCAATTCTCTTGTTGTGCTGCTCGGTCAGAATATAATTCAAAAGAGTTGTCTTTCCAGCCCCTATAATATTAAAAAAAACAGAAAAGGTAAAGCAGAAGTAAAGGTTAAAAAATAAAGAGCCCCCAGGAACTTTAAGCCATAGTGTGATAGTATGCACATCAGCAGACTTACCTGCCAAAGTAATCCCCTTGAGTGCTGTGATGTTAGCGCTCTCCTCCCTCACTGGCGCTTCCATCTTCATCCCTGTCTTCTTCCAGGATTGAAGACTTCAGCTGCTTGATTGGCCAGGCCCAAGTGAGGTAACTCCCACGCATGCACACGGAAGTTACTTCATCTCGGAGCAAGGAATTCTGCATGCGCAGCTTAATATACATTGTTGCCGACAAGCAGGACAGGAGGATCTATGACAGAAGAGACTCACACAGTCTCTTCTGTCATATTATGCCTGCCAGTCAGCAGTTTTTAAAAGAAACACTTAACTTTTACTTTACAATGAATATTTAGGAAAAAGTACTGCAAGGTTGACTTTTTATTCTCTTTTAGCTCACTCACCGTAACTTGAACAGCTATACTTAGCAAAACATATATAAGAAGGAAAGATGTAACAAATACCTCTTCTGAACTCCATAATACGAGGTTTAACCCAAGATAGTCTCAATCATCACTTACAGTATACTTGAGGACATGACTGAATAATTATGTTGCAGAACACTAACTTAGTATTTGTGATGCTGGATGACTTAGTTAGCGGCAGCTATATCATGTATCTTCACTAGATGTCGGTGTTTTGCTAGCAAATATTTACATATGAGCCAGGAAAAAAAGGGTAATGGGTACAGGTGAAGCCAAACTTTTTTTGGCTTTAGTTCTATTTTGGGTCACAGGAGTCCTCTTACTAATGTACTCCTGTGACCCAAAGTCATATAGTAGGCTTATACCTACCATATGCCGACAGCCGCACTGCAGTCAGGAAGGATCCTGACAATACTGTTTGTATCCACCCAGCTGTCTGACTGACAGCTGGCTCGGCCTCTCTAGAGCTAGCTGTGCTTGCCCCCTCCCCTGTCTGCCCCTCCAGTAAGCACTCCTGCGGGGAGCAGGGACTGACAGTCAGTACTCTCTGCAAGGAGAAGACCATGAGCTGAGCGATCAGCAATTCATGATCACTCAGCATTTAGTATTTAGAGCTGGCGTGTGTCCTAAACCAGCCCTAAGTATTGGGAACAGTATATTTTACTCTCCCAATACTTCTCCTTTAAATACAACATATTCAGAATCACAAAATACTTTCAGTTCCTCTCAGAGGGTACTCATCAGGGTGACTTTAAAGCTGCTGGTCCGTATAAAGTGCAGGCATCTAGGGGTGGCAGAACACACCTGCAGCACACTAGAGTCTCTGCCACTGGGGCCGAATCTGAGCCATCCTGGATGTGCAAAGCTCCACCATTCCATCATAGGAAGCTTGTCTGCCCCACTCAGCCTTATGGCAGGCCATCACAGTAATGGACCAACAGGAACATGTGGGAGGAAGCAGGAAAGCTGCAACACTACCATTAGTTCCAGTGCTTTACTCAATCAGAATACGAAAGGCACAGTTGGATAATTTAAAGCTGATCTCCGTGCCAATATAAACTGCTTTGCCTGCTGTCAGTCCAATACCGAACACGCTTACAAGAGGGAAGAGCACAGACATGACATCACTCTTGTGCTGCTGCTTCCTCAACACAGGGTGAGTGGATCCTGGACTAGGTTGTATTGCTTAACAGCAGTGCAATCTGGAGATAGATCCATAATCTGACTGTTTCCTCTGACAGGGGTGTCTAGATCATACAACTAGTTAAACAGAATTACAAACCATGTTGCAGGTAAAACAGTTCATATATTTCAACTGTGTATTAAGCTGTTTGCCTGGGGTTCAGCATTAAAAGGCCTTCAGTTTTTTCCAATACAGAGCAGATTTTGTATCAAAACAAGCACACTATAAAATACAGTTGTATATATATATACACAGTTCTGTTTTTAGATTTAAATTCCAACTTGTGGACAGGCCATTCACATCCACATAATTACATGGTTTTAGCACGCGGTAATGAGCTTTAAAACAAGCTTAGATTGACATATGTAGATGCAGGCACTCCCCAGTTAGACTTCGATAGAAAAAACAAGTAGTAAAAGTCACAGGATTACAAACTTAGAATAGTGCTTGGGAATCGTCTGCCCCATCCTTCCTTGGCTCCATTTTTTGCTAAAATGAATAAAAAAAAGCACAAGGAACAGACAATGCAGCACACAGTAGCACTGGAACAGAGAACACTGTCTCAATTGCTGCTAAATTAGACATGTTGCTTGATGTTTCTCTACATTTATTTAATCTCAATGGCAGTGACACACAGTTTCTGTCATGCCTTTAACCCCTTATTTGACAAAAATCTCAATGCAGATGGAGGGGACAAAATGACACCCATGTGCACATACCCTTACACTTATTTTTGTTTAGTTTTTTTGCTCACCCAAATACCCTGTGATTATAGTGACTGGAATCTTAGACTGTGTCTGATGGTCCGTAATGGGTACAAGCTCCGGGCAATCTTCATCTTCCTCCATGATAACTGGAGACTTGTCAGCAGGTGGGGGGTTTGGCCACCGGCAGGGGCCGCCCCTAGGCTGTAATTGGTCTTTAGTTTTGTGCCTAGCGTCCTTCTCCTGCAGGTGGCGATATTACCCTACCATTCAGGATCTACGATCTGTTGCCTGTGTCCTTCTATGAACGGGAGAGAAAAAAGGGTTTAATGTCACTTTAAATCCCCTTTAACCAGTTGACATCCGCGGTGTTAAACCCCCTTCACCTTTGTTTTCATCTTGGGTGTAAAATTAAAAAAAGATATACTCGCCTGAACCTTGGAGCCGTCCCTGCAGCCTCTCTTCCCCTTCGCTCAAGCTGTCTAAGGTCCTGCGAGTCATCATGTCCTATACGGTGTATTGGACTTGAGGACCCCGAGGGACATTTCATCACTGGAGTGGAGGAGACAAGATGCTGGGACCGGTCTAGCAGCCAGCCGGCTCCAAGGTTCAGGTCAGTATTTCATTTTTATTTTCATCCCTAGATGAAAACGAGCATTTAAGAATATGTCTGCCTGGAATTCTTCTGTAAGGGAAAACATTATTTGTAGTAGGTGAAGGTAAAGAAATATCTTTTAACCAAGGGTACCATTCTGCTGAGTTAGCAAAGCTGAGCAACTGTGGCTATAGGTAAATCTCAACATTGCAAACACACCCAGCCATCAAACCCAAGGGAAGAAGTAACAAAGGTTCTTTGCATATAGTAAAATAAAGCACAACCATTTAGGACAAAGTGCTACCACAAATGAGTAAACAGACAAGAGAAATTAAGCTGAATGAACCCTTTGTCCTAATCAGAAGGTTTGATAAGTTCATGTCCTTGTTGTGCTTATTACTGGAATTAAGAAGGCCCATAAACAACATCAACCATTGTTCTCATCCTGGTTACATTTTCACAGACATCCTTGATGATACTAGCAACCAAATGAATCTCCAATCCTACAAGCAGTGTTCTGTGCATAAATACTGGTGAAGGTCATCTCTGACACAGCGCAACTTACAAAAACATATGAAATCTAACAATAGTAATTAGTAGGGATGCACCAATACCGGTTTTATTAAGATCGAGAACGAGTACAGATACTTTTCCTCAAGTCCACCCGGGTACCAATCACTGATACCTTTTTTTTCGTGTCATGTGGCTGTTTTTTTAAAACAATACAGACTGATTTTAGGACAGTGGTGGAGCTCCAGGTCCCACTCACAGCTGCAACCGATGTCTACAAATCACAGCAATACATTATACAGCTCTGCATAATACCACCAGCTATAGGGAACTACAAATCCCAGCAGCACATTATACAGAAATGCAGAATACCATCAGCTGTAGAGGACTACAAATCCCAGCAGTACATTATACAGCAATGCAAAATAATATGAAGCTACATACCCTGTGTGGCTCACCAGGGCTGTACAAGATCTCAGGAGGCTGTGTATGGGTCCCACCAGGGCTACGTATGGGTCCCACCAGGGCTGCGTATGGGTCCCACCAGGGACGCGTATGGGTCCCACCAGGGACGCGTATGGGTCCCACCAGGGACGCGTATGGGTCCCACCAGGGACGCGTATGGGTCCCACCAGGGACGCGTATGGGTCCCACCAGGGACGCGTATGGGTCCCACCAGTGCTGCGTGTAGGTCTCCCCAGGGCTGCTCGGGTGGGTGTGGGTCTTACCAGGGCTGTTCCAGGTCTCCCCATGGCTGCTCAGTTGGGTGCGGGTGGCAGGAAGGAGGAAGAAATGTGCGGCCGGACCGGCGCTGTAAAAGACAGCTGCCGCGAGGTCCCCAGCAGACTGTCTGAGGTCCCCAGGAAGTGCAGGACCTCACTGCAGCCACTTGTGTTTAGAAATATAAACCGCCGGTATCGGTGCTTAGTATCGGGGCATTATCACGAGTACGAGCACTCCTGAAAATGGCCTGTATCGGTGCATCTCTAGTAATTAGTGTATCACAAAGTATGTTGAAGTTGGTTGAATGATTATGTTTATTAGAGACTACTTCCATCCACTGGAAATCACAAAGTAACACAGTCACTTAGTAACGCAAACACACACACCCCAAAAGGTTGAACTCGATGGACCCGTCTCTTTATTCAGCCTTAACAACTATGTAACAAAGACCTCTCTGTACAGGCAGAGAATATGATACATATGATACATACTGTGTGTATCTTATTAAATACTTACAATGTATGTAGCTTAAAACAAGCTTCTGTTTTGTCTAACAAGACACTTTTTAATCTGATGTATTAGGTTGTTATGGCAGCTTTAGAGCATACAATGTCTTATTTTTTTAGTAAATTAGTGGAGAAACTGTGATATCAGCTTTCAATGCCCCCAATGTATGGATGTATCTAATCCTAAGAACAATAACGTAATATATCTTATACAGGTGAAACTCGAATAATTAGAATATCGTGCAAAAGTTCATTTATTTCACTACTGCAACCTAAAAGGTGAAACTAATATATGAGATAGACTCATTACATGCAAAGCAAGATAATTCAAGTCGTGATTTGTCATCATTGTGATGATTATGGCTTACAGCTCATGAAAACACCAAATCCACAATCTCAGAAAATGAGAATATTACATGCAATCAATAAAACAAGGATTGTACATAGAACAATATCGGACCTCTGAAAAGTATAAGCATGCATATGTACTCAGTACTTGGTTTGGGCCTCTTTTGCAGCAATTACTGCCTGAATGCGGCGTGGCATGGAAGCTATTAGCCTGTGGCACTGCTGAGGTGTTATGGAAGACCAGGATGCTTCAATAGCGGCCTTCAGCTCTTCTGCATTGTTCGGTCTCATGTCTCTCATCTTTCTCTTGGCAATGCCCCATAGATTCTCTATGTGGTTCAGGTCAGGCGATTTTTTTTGCCTTTTCCTGACAATCCTCTCCAGGCTGCGGTCATCCCTGCTGCTTGTGCACCTTTTTCTTCCACACTTTTCCCTTCCACATAACTTTCTATTAATGTGCTTTGATACAGCACTTTGGGAACATCCAACTTCTTTTGCAATTACCTTTTGAGGCTTTCCCTCCTTATGGAGGGTGTCAATGATGGTTTTCTGCACAACTGTCATGTCAGCAGTCTTTCCCATGATTGTGATTCCTACTGAACCAGACTGAGAGACCATTTAAAGGCTCAGGAACCATTTGCAGGTGTCATGGCTTAATTAGCTGATTAGAGTGGGACACTTTGAGCCTAGAATATTGCACCTTTTCACAATATTCTAATTGTCTGAGATTGTGGATTTGGGGTTTTCATGAGCTGTAAGCCATAATCATCACAATGATGACAAATCACCGCTTGAACTATCTTGCTTTGCATGTAATGAGTCTTTCTCATATATTAGTTTCACCTTTTAAGTTGCATTAGTGAAATAAATGAACTTTTGCATGATATTCTAATTATTCGAGTTTCACCTGTATACACATGTATACACAGGGCACAGGAAGTTAATATGTGAATGGATATTGGCAAATCAAAGCTGTAAGGACAGCCTTGTATAACTTATCCCACTGCTAGTGTCTGCATAGTGCATCACCGCTTCTGCCTGTAGTGTCTGGACACAAGGCACTCTCCAGCCTCCATAATTGTGAGTACCTGGAGTCCTCTCTCAGCGAAGTGGCAGATCACCCTCCAGGGCACACTAATTTAGCCTGCCATCTCTTGAATAGGGTATTGCTTAGCATTGCTTATCGCTTCTCGGCCTTTGGCTAAGATCAAGTGTAGTATCTGTTCTTATCAGTTGTCGGGAACTGAAAGTCCGCTGTCGCCTATGAGGGGTGGATGGACGGACCGGTAGGTTCCTGGCGTAATTGGTAGGGAGCCGGATGAGGTTCCAGGCCCCGGAGTTTTCGACCCTAGTTAAAGGGGTGGGCTCCACGGGGAGGGATCTCTGAAGGTGAACTATCTCCTGATGGGAATGGATCCGAAACTTGATCAAGGCTAGAGGGTTCGGGGGCGGCAGAAGCCCGTGGTGTTGTGCCCCCTTTTTTCCCCATAGTTCTCTTAAGGGTCAGGGGAGGACATATACTAGTGTCCTCCCGTAACCCATAGCTCAGTATATCACGAGTTAGAGCTTGCAGTATACTGAGTCCGTCACAGCCGGGACGGATCCCGACAATGATGTCATTTCCCGATCTATTGAGCCGACATGTGACAGTTTCATTGTCACATGTCGGCTCAAACTATGAGGATGAGTGATTTTCACTCACCTCATAGTTCTCCTTTAAGAAATGGGCTGTGCCTGTCGTAGACCCAGCTATTTCATGTTTGAAAAAGACTTTAACGGTCCCTGTGTAGAGGATGTTTCTGTGTTCTAGGACCATGAGAAAAAGAAGTTGGAAGCCCTCTTTTAAGCTGCCACCATGGCAATATGTCAAACTTATCTGTATGGTCTTGCAGGATCAAAAGGCATTTTACTTATTGAACTGATATAACAACATTTTTAAGATGGTATATTTAATAGACTAAAACAGATCAAAAAAGAAAAGTTCTTTCTTAAGGTTTACATACACTTTAAGGCAGGGGTGCCCACAAGGTCGATCGCGATCTACCAGTCGATCGCGTAGCGATCACTGGTAGATCGCCATGTCCTCTCCTCCCGCCGCTTCTCTGGATCCCCGCTGCTCTCCCCAGCGGGGATCCGAGAAGAAGTGAAGGAACCGGCAGCGGGGGAGGGCGGAGGAGAGAGCCGCTGTCACTAACTCATGCAGGGCAGTGAGGAGAGAGAGAGACGCTCGGCCAGGATCTGACAGCCGGCGCCTCTCTCTCCCCTCACTGCTCGTCCGTTCTGACACAGCGGCTCCGACCCCCGCGCGGCTCGTCGTATCCCCCTCTGCCCGGGAGAGCAGGGGGATCCAGAGAAGTTGCAGCCCCCCTGTGCGTGGCCGAGCGGCAGAGGATCGGTACATGTCACTAGTATGTACCAATCCTCTGTGTAGGACAAACACTGGAGCGATCGGCTGATCACTCCAGTGTTTGTAAATAACTGGGGACACATAGTACTATGTGTCCCCAGTTATAAATGAATGAACAGGATGTGATTTATATCACCTCCTGTTCATTCATAAGTTTCTCAATGGGGAGAAGCACTCTGTACAGAGGCTCCTCCCCATTCAGAAACAGCTTGATAGTAAAATATTTTCTTAATGAATGGGAAGCCTCTGTGCTTTCCATTCATTTAGAATAGAGGCTGCAGAAAAAGAGATTGAGGACTTTGTGTCCTCAATTTCTTTTTCTATTTTAAAAGGGAAATATCAGGGGGCTTTTTAGACCCCTAATATTTCCCCGAAGCCCCCCCAAGAGTAAAAAAAAAAAAATATTATGAAAATTTAAAAAAAAATAATGAAAATGAAAAAAATAGTAAAAAATAAATTAAAAAAACGTTGTTTTTTTTCCTTGCCTCAGGCGCAAAAGGAGCTGGCTACGGCTATGCTCCCGTGGTGCTCGTGCGGCTGCCGGCTGAATGTGTCAGACGCTGCAGATGGAAAGGTGCAGGACACCCCATGTGCAACGTCGGCCACACGAGCACCACGGGAGGACAGGACGCCGGGACCTGTAATGTACTGGAATGCACTGGAATGTAAGCAGGCCGACTCCCTGCGTTCCGGTGCGGGAGGGGGTGTGGAGCTGTATTGAAGTCAATGGCATCGCCCACAGTGCGATCGCCCGCACTCGGAACGCAGGCATATTAGTGCCTGCATTCCGGTCCAGTGCGATCTGCAAAAATAGTGCTCGCAGCATTTTTGCGGATCGCACTGGACTGGAACACAGGCACTAATGCAGGCGATCGCACTGTGGGCGAGGGGCCTGCCTGCGCAGCCCACGCCCCCTCCCGCCCCTGAATGCAGGTGTTTTTTCGTTTGTTGATCTCAATGAGCTCGTCATTTGAAAAGTAGATCTCCAGACGAAAAATAGTGGGCGCCCCTGCTTTAAGGTAACCTGTCAGAATAGACATATGGGGCTTTTATGGCTAAACCACTTCTGTAAATGCTAGCTGATTTTTTAGCTTTAATACTTTCAGGGACCGGATGCACATTACATGTTTTGACTTCACTTGCTGCATGCATGTTTTGGGTTAACCAAAGCACTAAAATTATTTTGGCTTGAGTTAATCATAATCAACTTACGTTTATAATAATATGACGTGACAAAAGAGCGAGAGCTTCCATATTTCTGTGTTCGTGTCCATATGTGCCTTTTGGCCTCTGTCTTTTCATTTTCTGTTATACATTGTCTATTGCATGTTAATTGCCAATAAAGAAATACAAAAATTCTCTATTTAAATGTTCACTCATTTCTAGTCAAAGTTTAAAGCCCAACTCCCAATTCATTTATTTCACTTTGAATACAGTGAAAAGAGGGAAAGGAACATTTTATTGGTGTCTGTGTCCCTATTAGGGAGTTTCCCTTCATCTCTTATCAGGACAGGAAATGATGGGAATCTTTTGGATAGGCAAACGCCTTTTAGTAGGGTGAGGAAAGTTTAGAACTTCTGACAATGATTTCTGCAGTCTAAGCTTTCTGTCCCGGTGACGCCTGCAAACCCCATTTTTACGAGCGTCACAAGAACAGGAATAGCAGGGAACGACAACATTTTAAAGCAGCAGATCTGATGAAGGATGCATTGAGGGCAAGTGGAATAAATTACACTCACCTTCCCAAACGCTACACTTTCAGAGCTGATTCACACTTTAGCAATCCCAGTCACACATCTAGGGAATGCAGCCCAAGTGGTACCTGTTCTGTGAATAAAATATACAGTTTAATAAATTAGACCAAGTGTGCCCTTCTGATCCATCAATTGTCTTCCTCGGTAGATGAAAGCCTAGAAATAAGGCCGGTGCCCTTCTTTACATAATCATTATACTGGTTGAGAAGATTCACAATGAATGTTAAACTAGACGCATTTTGCATTATGATAATAACTGGTCCTTCAGGAAAAGCGGTACATATGCAGTACACCTACAAAGTCACAGTGCAGCCAGAAATGCTACCGTAATGACCAGAGTTAGGGATTTCTATTCTGCATACCATACATTATTAGTAGATTGAACCACTTCCTGTGAAATGGCTACCTTGTGTTAAAAGACAGAAATAAAACAGGACTGCATCATAGACAGGGATAGTTTTTTAGCATGATCCCAAAACTTTGTAGAGCAGACATTTGCAAAAGTCCTCTTTTTAATGTTTACTCAAACTAACATTTCACTTTTTTAAAGTAGATATTAAAGTTTAATTCTGTAGAGTTATTAAAACAATATATTTTTAGAATGTGTTCGTATACAAACATCTTTAAATATATTTGAGGCACAACAGCACATAATTTACTGAGAAAAAAACATGTATGAAGAAGACACTCCCCAGTTTGTGGTCAATGTGTTTTCCACCAAGGTGGTTAGCATGATAACAAAGCAGATGTTTTATTGTTGTCGCAACGTATATGAAATAACACCAGCTTTCAGTAGATGCAATGTCATACTGTCCTCCGATGTTAAGCATTTTGGCAAAGATCACCAAACTGCTGTTATGTATTTACAGATGATACATTGCTGCAGTGATTATAACGTTACATTAGATGTATCTTGCAGCATGCTTCCATAGACAATGCACTTGTATCGGGCTGCCAGTTTATCAAGTAAATAGCCAATGGCCTCATGTTGTGGTAGTGTCAGTGCTTCCTACCTTACTAAAGTTTGGGTCAAAGCAGGAGATGATGACTTCCACTGTGTGATGGTGACAGGTACACCCTAATATAACCTGGTTAAGATCAGAGATGGTGGAAAACAGTCTTCCACATTTGTTTTTTTTTGGTAAAATAAACTAGGTGCAATTTTTTTGGGTACAAGTATTTTTAGCAGCAACAAAACGTACACAAGAAAAAAAAAAACAGATAAGCATACCAGGACTTTAAAATCCCACATTTGATAGAAAATGACCAAATAAATAACCTAACCCCCTAATTAAACTAAATCCAATCCTTAAACCTCAACACAAACCCTCAAACTTATCACTAAGGCTAACCATACACTTTTCGATTTCTCTTGTGCAGCCCCATGCGTTGAACAAGAGAAGTCAGTTGATTCCCACATTCACAATAAACAGTGTGGATGGATGACTCTACGCTGCTGGCTATTGGCAGGTGGCAAGGCTGTCTGAATACCCAAACAGTGCCTATATCTGATTCCTGGCAACAATTTCCCCCTTGGATTTTGCGTTTAGCCAATTGGTGCCAACAGGGCCACCCATGGCTCAAATTCCAGCAGACTTAGCAGGGATCACCTGAAAATAAAGCTGTGTATGGCTATCTTAAGGCTAAATCTATCACTTAACCAAAGCTCTAAACCTCATCCTAACCCCTAGACTTAATATAACACAACGAAACTTAAACACACCCCAAAACCTAACCCTTTAAATTTACCTCCCTTATCAGAGCCTACTCCTAAACCTAACCTTTAAACCCTAAACCTTAAAGCTCACAGATTCAGGTGAATAGCCCAATCCATGCATTGCTTCCCTACCCACCATTGCGTAGCTGCACTCCCCCTGCTACCCCATTCACCTACTAGAGCCCCATAAATATACTCTGGGGGGAATTTATTATAACTGGAGAAGACAAAATCTGGAGCAGATGTGCATGGCAACCAATCAGATTCTCTCTTCAGTTTGTTCAGGTAAGATTTGAAAATGAAAGACAGAAGCTGATTGCCATGAACAACTGCTCCAGATGTTCTCTGCTCCAGTTTTGATAAATTCCCTTCTCTGTATTTCCGTGCATAGAGTAGAATCTAACCCTGTCTACTTCTTCCCATGAAGAATCACTGGGTTCCTGATCCCGTTGCTCTCGTATAATAATGTGGTAAATAATTACCATAACAAAAAACATTAATGTGCCAAAACAACTGATTCACGTTTATTCCAGTATAAACACCTAATAATGCTGTTCAGCTTTTAAAAACACATACTCACTTAGGGCCGGTTCACACCACAAACGCCACGTTCCAGTGCGTTTGGCCTCTGGAATGCACTGGAACGCAAGCCGACCAGCTCCCTGCATTCAGGGGCGGGAGGGGACGTAGCGGGGCATTAAAGTGGCCTCTGCGTTCTGGTCCAGTGCGTTCAGCAAAAATAGTGCTTGCGTTCTGGGTGTGGGAGATCGCACTGCAGACGGGGGGCGTGGCTGCGGTGCCATTGACTTCAATGTCCCTGAACGCAGGGAGCCGACCGGCTTGCACTCCACTGTGTTCCAGAGGCCGAACGCACTGGAACCCGGAGTTTGTGGTGTGAACCGGCCCTAAAGGCATAGTCCACTTTTTGCAAAAAAATGTATAAATGCACACGCATTGATTAAAATATGCATCTATAATTTATTGCATCAGAGTCTGCAAAGCATTGCAACTGCCATCAGTGGATGGCTGATGCAATGCGCAGGTTTCTGCAGACTATTGCACCAACCCCAGGTCTGTACAGAGGTAAAGACCCTCAATTATAAAGTGGAGGAAGTAATCAATGAACTACAAGTGTGGTGACGTCACTTGATGTTCGGATCATGTTGAGCTCTACGAGTGGGACTCTGCGAGTTTTTTTTTCATTCACAGATTCTGTGAATGAATGACATGGCTCTGCGGAATATATACAGAAGCCTGCTGGGAAAAGAACTCCTGCCATTTAGGTAAGGCAGAAGACATTTCAAGACTCATGACTTCCAGAGGCAGAGACATGATGGGATTTGTAATTTCATCACAGCTGGAGGACCAGAGTTTAGCTAACCCTGATAAAGATCATCCTCCCTTCCCCCCTCAGGTCACAGTGCTCAGGCCTGGTGATTAATAATGATGAGCCTGAGCTTGGTGTGAACCCAGTTTGCTCCGAACTGTGACTGCCACCCCCTCCTCCCAGCCCAATCAGTTGTAGAGAGGCCCAGCTATACTTGGGCTTGGGCAAACTCAGACGAACTGGGTTTGCACTAACCCCAGGCTCATCTCTAATGATTAGCACTTCAAGCACTGACTGCTCTATATGGGGAAGAAGGGAGATAGTCAGGGCCATCCATATGAGGCAGCCGGAGGCTCATTGGGGGGGAACTGGGTATTGGGGGGGAGCAGCAGTGGGTGGCCACAGCCTCCCCGGTTGCTAAGAGCTCTTAGCAACCTGTGACGCTCCATGCAGCTTCCCACTAAGCTCAATAACGTCAGCAGTTGCCAGGAGCTGAGCGGGACACTTTGGATGGCGTCCCACCGAGCTCCTGGCAACCAATGACGTCAGTGAGCTGGGAGGGACACTGAACAGAACCACTGACAGTGCACCCTGGTGTCCCCCCACCCCCGGAATGAGAAATAAGCAAGTCCTGCCCCCAACAAATACTGCTCTCTGACAGCACCCCCACCACGGAACTACATTGCCTCAGGCGGCGAATACCTTAGGGACAGGGTGAAGAATGTAAGTAAAGGCTCCTTGCCATGCCTGCTATTCTACAAACCTGTCACTTTGCATAGCCAGGGCTCTCTAGTGGGGGTGGGGCTAAATTTGACAGAGATGCAAAATTTTGATCACATAGACAGCATTCTATCACAACATAATAGGCAGGCAGCTAGATAATGCACATGTCAAAATACTGTATTCCGTTTTTAATACACTTTCATTTTCTATGTAACATACCTTTTATGGACTCAATAACACATTAACAATAATTAGTATTTAACCCATTCATTAAAGAAAGCCCTCTACAGAAACACTTCTCTCTGTTACCCAGTTATAGCAAACCGGCTTCCCTGAAATTCTCAAAACTACAAGTCCCATCATGCAAAGCTACAGGAAGCCTATATATGTCTGCTGCGAATCCCAATTACATGCTGCGAGCTGGGGACTGATTTTTGCTGGATCTCCCCTTCTGCAATAGCACACCCTCCCCCAACACAACACAACATACATCACCCTGAAGGGATCACTTCTGCCTGCACCGATCAAACATCACACTGCAAAGACATCATGTGCTGTAAACACATCCAGCTTCTTCCTGTGCAGCTGCGAAAAGCTTCCTCCTTCAACACGTGTTATGGTCACAGAGCTCCAGATGCCACAAGAGGAAACCGTGTTTACCTAAGGAGCAAGATTCAGATTGTAAACAAACTGCAGTCACTTCATGGAAGGAGCTCAATGCTTGTAACAACATAACCATAATAGTTCAATAAACACTCAATAGGAAAAGCTGTGTTTTCACACATCATTATTGTTGTTGTTATTATTATTATTATTAGTCAGCCCTTGTTTTCACTTTATTTTGCAGCCTTTTATAAGTTTCTATGTTTGAGTATTTTTGTAATTCTATTGTCCACAAATACAGATATTGCACAACCATCGGTCTGTTGGTAATAATCCAAAAACAATAGCTATACTGTAGGTACTACACTATAAATGCCAACACAATTCACATATAGTCATATAGTTGATTGCCCACTATGTCCATCAGACAGGTACAAATAAAGTGTATGGCAATCTGATATCAGAGTGATCCTATTTCTAAGGGCACAGATGCTCAGATACGCTATAACGCACAATGAATCAGTCTCTTAATTGGCCAGTCGAATTTATCAAATAATGTATAGAAGTACTAGATTAGAACCTGCTCTGTATTTTACAAATGGTTGTGAACTTAACCTGGTTTCAGTTATCAGTACTTGTGTGTGTAAGTATATCACTTTTCGGCAGGTGTCCAAGCATATGGGTTGGATAAGATATGTTGTCAACACACAAACACAAGCTTGTTTCAAAGTGCAAACCTCTTTTTACATAATCACATAGAAAAACAATATTTTGGGACTGCACAGGGACTCTTCATCAGGTTCATAATGCCATCACGTGTTTCACGTGCCTGATGAAGGGTCCCTGCGTGGTCCCAAAACATTTTTCTACATGATCACCAAAAAAAAAAAAAGCTTTTCACTTTGTTGGTGAGTTAATGACATATCCTATCCATGGTATACACTGTGACCAGTCAGGGGTTGTTGCAGCACCCTTTTGACCATGTGGTCAATTCTAGTATGGTGTGCGTAATGAATATACTCAATGTCGAGCATGTAGATTGTCACAGCCTATGTGGCTGTGAGAACTTGGAGCCATGTAGGCTGTGACATCCTACCTTCTATGGAGAACTTCCTCCACCATGGACCTCCCAACACCAGTATTATTTATGCAATATACTGATTCAATGCATCTATACAAGGCGCACAGCACACATTACAGGCTTGCAAGGAACCTCCACCATGCTTCACTGTTGCTGCAGACACTCATTATTGTACCGCTCTCCAGCCCTTCGGGGAATAAACTGCCTCCTGCACTGATGAGTTAAAACGTGAAATATTTGGCTGTAGCAGGAGGCAGTTTGTTCGCCGAAGGCCTGAAGAGCAGTACAATGAGATTCTGCAGCAACAGTGAAGCATGGTGGCGGTTCCTTGCAAGTCTGGGGATGCATTTCTGCAAATGGAGTTGGAAATGTGGTCAGAATCAATGGTGTACTCAATGCTGAGAAATACAAGCAGACACTTACCCATCATACGAGCAGGCAGGCGTGTGATTGGCCCCAAATTTATTCTGCAGCAGGACAAAGACCCCAAACATACATCCAATGTCCTTAAGAACTATCTTCAGCGTAAAGAAGAACAAGGAGTCCTGGAAGTGATGGTTTGGCCCCCACGGAGCCCTGATCTCAACATCATCGAGTCTGTCTGGGATTACAAGAAAAGAGAGAAGGATTTGAGGCAGCCTACATCCACAGAGATCTGCGGTTAGTTCTCCAAGATATTTGGAACAACCTACCTGCCGAGTTCCAAAAACTGTGTGCAAGTGTACCTAGAAGAGTTGATGCTGTTTTGAAGGCAAAGGGTGATCACACCAGATTTTAGTTTGGATTTCTCTTCTGTTCATTTACTTTCCATATTGTTAATTGAAAAAAAAAAAACTATGAACAATTTTTTTTCTGAGAGCATTCGTACTTTACAGCATTTTTTCACACCTGCCCAAAACATTTGCACAGTACTGTGTATAATATATACTGTATGTATTTTTTTCCCCACACCCCTGATTGCTAGGTGTTATACTTACATTCAGCCTCGATCCAGCAATATGGCTCTGCTTGGAGGTGCACGGCATTTTCTTCAAAATGGCCATTTGGCACTGTGTGTGTGCACCACAGTCCTGTGGGAGTCCTGCGTGAGTGTTGTACTCCAACCGACCACTTCAGGCAGTACAAGCAAAAGCTGTGAAGATCGCTGGGTTGGGGCTGAAAATAAGAATAAATACAACATAATTAAATAATAAAAATAAATAAGTACAGTTGTACTTTAAAGCTTTTTTCAGATGCAGCTTATAGAGAATTCTGGTAATACCACCTATCCACTATGATTTGAGATTTTGATGTGTAAAATGCATATTAGTTCCTCTACTGTCTTTTCTCTGGCAAGGTGGAACAAGTGCAATGTGAGTATTATATATTGCACTCAAACATCCTGCAAGTAAAAATTCTGTTTCATCTATTGTCAATCTGCTTGAAATGTACGAGGGTACCTTATACAGTATTTGAGAGTTGCCCTCAACACCTGCTTCAGATGTTGGGATGCTGGGCTGACTCATACCAATAAAGTGTGCAGTGTCAGGTTAGAACATGGCATTTCTTGCAAAGTACAAAACCACATACAACTTGCACAACCCAGATAACACCAGATGTTTATATGCCAACAGCTTCAGATTCTTTTTGACAGGTCTAAAAAGCTTATAGACAGCAGATCAATAGCTCTGCACTACCTCATCACCAAATTGCTCCTCCAAAGAGAAAGTTCAAGCTCTGCAGAGCAAAGGGTATCTGAGTCTACAGGAGTAATGTTAAAGTACATCAAAACCCAATTTCTAAAATGTTAACATCATTTTAAAAGTTGTTTTAATTTTTTTTTATATGCAGCCTTTAATATAATAAATGCAATTCCTGTTATAGGTTGGCAACTCTCTCCCAGTGGTGCTCCTGCATTGTCAACCTGTCCGCTGTTGTCGCTGTCACTCAGGAAACAAGTCCAAAGCAGCGATGTGCAGCCAGCACTGGAGCAAGTGCATGTAGACAGGAAGTAGATGAAAACAGTAGTGTTGTGATTTAAAAAAAAATAGAAAGAAGGGTGAAAATAGTATTTTATGAAAAAAGATGTCAGTTGTTTATGATACATGGTGCTGTTACAAGCTATGTGGTCAATTTGGAGATCCACTGGCCCTGCAAATCTCTGTGAATGTTTATTTTGTGCGAATGGATGGACACATCGAACATTCTTCTTATATTTTCATGTTGTTTTTTCAAATGTCATCTTTTAATACTGCATTATTGCATTTAGATAGAGCTGAGGAGCACAGGTAAATGGTATATATCTCCATGCTTTTTAGCTCCATCTAATTATTCATTTCCTATGCTCCTCCGCTCCATCTAGTGGCCATAATGCAGTATTATAAGCTGATATTCGAACATTCATTTTACTTATAAAATATACAAGAGCGTTCATTTTGTGTATCCCGTTGCACAGTGCGAACATTCACAGAAATTCACAGGGGCAATTGCTCTGCAAATTGTTTATAAATAGACCCCTAAATGTCATCAAGTTAGGTTTTACATCTACTTTAAATGACCTGTGTCTTCAGTTACCTTCTCACTTGCTTCCTTATCAAAATTTAAAGATAGCAGATCTTCAGTTCTGACTAAATAGCAAGTAACAAGTATATGTAAATTATGGAATAAGAGAGCGACCTAACTACAGAGTGTGAAAAGGCAAAACTTCCACTGTTCAAAGCTTTGGAATACTTTTGAAAACACAAGCTTCTCCACTTGAGCCTGGTGTAGGTGCAAAACAGATGCGTATGTTGGATGTGTGCTGAATGCAACACTAGTCACATTATAAAAGGACTTTTTTTTTTCATTAAAGAACAGAATGTTGCCAAAAGTTGGCAAATGTTAAATTATTATTAATATTTTATATACAGGGTTTCTATAGCACCAACACTTTGCTGTTGCTGTGTGGGGATGAATTGTTTGAGAAAGTGATAGTTCAGTGGTTAGGTTGAGGTAGGATAGGCTTCCCTGTAGAGATGAGTCTTTAGGGATTACTAGGGGACATAGGCACTTTTGCCATGTCCATTTTAATCAAAGTGTCTATTTTAACCCCTTCATGACTGAGGAATTTAAAAAAAAAATGTTTGTGTACATGTTATAATCCACATTTTAGACCTGAAAATTACTTAAAACTCAAAAACATTATATATTTTCTGAAAAGCCAAGACTCTATAGAATAAAATGGTTGCAGTTGAAAATTTGTATATTGCACGATATTAGCGTAACTCGTTATCAAACCCCAAAATATAATGATAAATGCCCCAAACAGAATAACATACCCATTTTCTGAATAAAATATAAAAGATGAGGTTACATCGAATAAATAGATACCAAACATGCCCAGGTTAAAAATTGTGTGCGTCCATGAAACTGCAACAAAATTCAGTACCCCAGAAAGTCCATAGACAATGATTTAAAAGCCCCTACAGGTCATCAGTTTAGAGATACGTGTAAATATTGGCCCTAGAATTATTGCTCTCACTCCAGTGTGCGTGGCAATACCCAAGATGTGTAGCGCGATTGTTATTTTAATGCATAAGCGCACCCAACTTATGTTTACGTGCATGCTCGCGGTGGCAGGGGGTTCTAAAAATGTTTTTGTTTTTACATTTATTTGATTTAATATTAATTTTAAAAACAGTTTTTTGTTTTTTTTAAAACTGTACTTCACTTTACTTTCATTACTATCATCCCCCCATGTGATAGCAGATTGGCAGTGACAGGTCCTCTTTAAGGTGACACTGGGGGTCCAAAAGACTCCTAGTATCACCTTTACACGCTCAATAAGCTATTGAAGTGCAGATCACACTTCAATAGTTTATAGCTGGGATTCAGGAGCCCAGCACTGACAGTTATGGGACCGGAAGTGATGTAATCTGCATCGCTCCC